CAAACAGACAGTTAATAGTTTACTGCTGAGTGAACCGCAGAAATGAACAGAAAGGAAGGAGGAGTACAGTAGGAGAAAAGCAGTCGCACTAAATCCCATCGTCTCCTGCTTCACTGTTCCACTTCCTCTGACAGGCGCTTCAAAGGACACATCATTTCTTGTTTAATTGGCCACAGTTAGTGCTGAGGGACTCGTTGCATCAGACATGAGACATTATTCACCCGACTATATTCTCTTTCATATTAGGGATGCACTATATGTGTCAATATACAATCCCGATATCAGCCGATAATTATATGGTATAATTAGATATATCGGCAATTATATATATACATATTAGGGGTTGCACCGACTAATCGACTTCAATGCTCTGCCATGACGCTTTAAGCTTGACGTCGACTAGTCGCTGGTCCTATAGAGGGCGCAACAGGATAATAACTCTTTGAAGGACTTCCACATTTACGCTCTGTTTCCAAACAGTTAAAATGACAAATAAATGCATACTCTGAAAGCGCTCCACAAGACATGTGTGATTATATTACTGGATGCTCAAAATTGAACAGAAGAATGCACGTTTTAAACAGCTTATTGTGCAGGTAAGGTAATCGCCGTTCTAATCTAATGCGCTGCTGCACTGTAACGCACACACATAGGCTACAGACAGTAGCTCGTACATCACAAGCACAGAATCATTCAGCACGGAAATGTATTGTCAACACTGTTCTGTGATATCTCAATAAAATAGCTTAGAAACCGAATAGTTCAAGCATATATTTATTATTAACTAAATCCCACGGCTTCACTACTAGTAGAGAGACGCTGCCAGGTAGAATTATTTCACACACGCAATCGCTCGCACTAATGCATTCATATGAATGTAATCTTTACTGTGCTACTTTATCTGTATCTGATTTAGAACGAGCAGAAATCTGTGAGAAATAAAACAACCCAAAGACAAAATAACTGATAAAAATTAGCTGTTATAGGAGCAATAGTCATGTGGGCAGCGCTGTGTCATATGCCATAGCTGTGCACAAGGTGTTTCATCGTTCAACCCCTAATATATATATAAATTATAATAATTATATTTAAATATTTAAATAAAATATCTATGTATCTAATTTATTTTAGATGTTTAATTTATTGCCGATATTTGTGTTTAGTTTAAGATTACTTATGCTTTTTTAAAATTTTTTACAGTAATGTAGACTTATGTTGGCAATAACAAAAATAATATTGCCATATTGATTGCGATTTCCATCATGGGCCAGCTGAACACTTTTTTTTATTACTACGAATACATTTACACTGCTGTTCAAAAGTTTGGGATCAGTAATAATTTAAATGTGTTTTAAAGAATTCTCTTCTGCTCATCAAAGCTGCATTTATTTGATCAGAAATACAGAAAAAAACTGTAATATTGTGAAATATTATTGCAATTTAAAATAATGGTTTTCTATTTTAATGTACTTTAAAATAGAATTTATTGCTGTGATCAAAGCTGAATTTTCAGCATCATTACTCTTCAGTGTCACATGATCTTCAGAAATCATTCTGATATGCTGATTTATTATCAATGTTAGAGACTGTTGTGTTGCTTAGTATTTTTTTGGAACCTGAGATACTTTTTTTTCAGGATTCGAAAAAATGAATAAAAAGTTAAAAAGAAGAGCATTTATTTAAAACAGAAATCTTTTCTAACAATATACACTACCGTTCAACAGTTTGGGGTCGGTACATTTTTATTCTTTCTTTTTTTGAAAGAAATTAAAACTTTTATTCAGCAAGGATGTGTTAAATTGATAAAAAGTGATAAATACTTATATTGTTATAATAGATTTCTATTTGAAATAAATGCTGTTCTTTTTAAATTTTTCATCAAAGAATCCTGAAAAAAGTATCACAGCTTCCCAAAAAAAAACAAATTAAGCAGCAAAACTGTTTCCAACATTGATAATAAATCAGCATATTATACTGATATCTGAAGATCATGTGACACTGAAGACTGGAGGAATGATGCTGAAAATACAGCTGCGCATCACAGAAATACATTATATTTTAAAACATATTAAAATAGAAAACCATTATTTTAAATCAGTTTTTTCCCCCTGCATGTTCGGTCAAATAAATGCAGCCTTGATGAACAGAAGAGACTTCTTTAAAACACATAAAAAATCTTACTGATCCCAAACTTTTGAACAGCAGAGTATATACATGCATACATATATATTTTCATAGTAAAATGGCTTGCTCACTCTCTGATTGGACAAATGCCTGTTCTAACCTTTTTTGAAAGAATTTGAAATAAATTATATTTTAAAGTATATTAAAATAGAAAACCATTATTTTAAATCAGTTTTTTCCCCCTGTATGTTCGGTCAAATAAATGCAGCCTTGATGAACAGAAGAGACTTCTTTAAAACACATAAAAAATCTTACTGATCCCAAACTTTTGAACAGCAGAGTATATACATGCATACATATATATTTTCATAGTAAAATGGCTTGCTCACTCTCTGATTGGACAAATGCCTGTTCTAACCTTTTTTGAAAGAATTTGGATATATTTCTGGGTGACAGAAGCTGATCCGAGCTTTACAAGCATTTTCAAGCTGGTGCTTCTTTTCGACAACACTGCATGATGGGAACAAAAAGGCAGCCTGCCATAGATGCGGCGATGACCCTAATCATGGCGCATCTGCTACGATGATGTCTCTCATCAGACGGCATGTTGCCGCTGAACCAATCACGTCTCGCTTTGATTCAATGCACGCTAGATTTGATTACAGAAGCTCAAAGGCTGATAACCTTGGGAATGATTTGAGATCCTCTTCTGTGAAAAGCGGGAAGAATTGAAGCGATGATAACGCCCGTGTTAGTATCTGGTATCATAGTGAACATTAAAAAGAGAGATTTCATTAGACGCTGGTTGAAACTGGAGGTCAGGACGGAAAGGCCAGCGCTGGATGATGAGTGAACCGCACACACATTATTTTACAACTGCCATAAACCTGCAGCACAAGGACCGTGTCACAGCATCAGCTAGTGCAATGAATCCTTAAAGCGCAGGAGGAAGGGAACGGCAGAGAACGGAGGTGAGAAAGAGAGAAAGAAAGACATGCTGTTTGTTGTTAGTGATCATCTCAGCGTTCAATAGAACATGACTCCTCACGTTCTCACGTGAATAAGTGATGAAGATGGTCATGTACAGGTTTTCTGGATGAATTGCGATGGCAGAGAGTGCTGCTGTACAAGGATGCTCAATGAAAACACACCTCCCATGAGAGCGAGAGAGAGCGAGAGAGAGCGAGAGAGAGCGAGAGAGAGAGAGAGAGAGAGAGAGAGAAAGAGAGAGAGAGGATGACCGCACACACATTATTTTACAACTGCCATAAACCTGCAGCACAAGGACCGTGTCACAGCATCAGCTAGTGCAATGAATCCTTAAAGCGCAGGAGGAAGGGAACGGCAGAGAACGGAGGTGAGAAAGAGAGAAAGAAAGACATGCTGTTTGTTGTTAGTGATCATCTCAGCGTTCAATAGAACATGACTCCTCACGTTCTCACGTGAATAAGTGATGAAGATGGTCATGTACAGGTTTTCTGGATGAATTGCGATGGCAGGGAGTGCTGCTGTACAAGGATGCTCAATGAAAACACACCTCCCATGAGAGAGAGAGAGAGAGAGGATGAGAGGAGACAGCTGCGCATACCTCAAATATTTAAAAACATTTACAAGATTCTGCTGCACTCCATTATGCAGCGCTCTGTTTGTTGTTAGGATCACAAAAAGGTTTAATAGTTATTTTTAGGCTGCTCATCATGTCAAACTGATTGAGCTGGACCAATCAAATCAAAGTAGGCGGGGTTTACTAATCCAGCGGCAGTGTAACGTTGAAAGAGAGCGAGGTAAGATGAAACTAGCGAAACATTTAATATTTGACAACAGAAATGTTAAAGGGTTAGTTCACCCAAAAATGAAAATTCTGTCATTAATTACTCACCCTCGTGTTGTTCGAAACCCGTAAGACCTTCGTTCATCTTCGGAACACAATTTAAGATATTTCTGATGAAATCTGAGGGCTCTCTGACCCTCCCATAGACAGCAAGGTAACTACCACGTTCAAGGTCCAGAAAAGTACCAAGATGATCGAGTTGTTCAACTGTAAAGTTACGAAGCTACGAGAATACTTTTTTGCTTACTTTTTCATTACGCCGGATCTGGGTCAGCGCCGACGCCGCCACACGCTCGCGTCATGATACTGTCGTGAACGTGCGTCCACAAGTGACACAGTAGAGAAATGTGGAATAAAGTCGTTATTTTTGTTTTCATTGTGCAAAAAAGTATTCTCGTAGCTTCGTAACTTTACAGTTGAACAACTGATGCCACACAGACTACTTTGTCGATCATCTTGGTACTTTTCTGGACCTTGAACGTGGTAGTTACCTTGCTGTCTATAAGAGGGTCAGCGTGCCCTCAGATTTCATCAAAAATATCTTAAATTGTGTTCAGAAGATCTTTCGGGTTTCGAAAAACACGAAGGTGAGTAATTAATGACAGAATTAAAATTTTTGGGTGAACTAACCCAAAATAATAACAGCAATTTCCAGTAATGCAAACTACTCAAATCTTTTCTCAAATATGGCTGTTTGGAATTGAAAATTTGGTATCATTTACTTGATTCATGTAATATCTTACTGAATGTAACAATATAAGAAACGTTTTGGGTTTTTGAAATATTAGATATACAAATAAGACATGCATATTTAAAAAAAAAAAAATAATTGCTAATATTTAATCAATTTTAATCAGAATCATCTGCTGTAATTAATATACTTACAGCAGATATTCAACTGAATATTTTATATTCAGTTTCTTGAATTTGTGAAAATTCATATTTTAAATGTATAATTAATGTATTCAAACATTTATATATTTATCAGTGTTTGTTTTTACTTTATAAGGTCCTTAGAAAATTATTAAAATAAAGAAAATCTCACCTTCCCAGTAACAGCAGACCATACTTTGAGCGTGTTGTCGTCTGAGCCGCTCACAATGCAGTTTCCACAGAACTGGAGACAGGTGATGACATGATCGTCATGGCCTTTCAACACCTGAAAACAGAGAGAAAAAGAGGATTAATTACAAAATGAACAGAAATGCTAGTATTACAGTGATGCGCAAGAACAACGTGATGCTGCTGATGCTGGCAAATGACACAGCAGCTTTCAATTACAGGAACCAACAGGTTCATGGTCACCATGGTAACAACCGAGTATGAATAACCCAAAATCCCTATTTTCTGGCACCCACTGTGCCGTCGAGAGGACTTAAGTTGCTCTTTTCAGGGTCTTAAACATTTCAGTTCCCCAAGTGATGCACTGATGGGCGTCTCTCAGAAGGATTTCCAAATTAGATAAAGACTTCAAGCCATAAAAAGCAGTTTAAGGGTGATTAAAGAGATTTAATATTATGCCTTACAGTAACAAGGAACTAGAAAACTGAAATGTAGGCACACGTTGAAATGAAATGTCTTTCCGAAAGTGGGGTTGGTAAGACTTTTAAATGTTTTTGAAAGCATCTAAACGCACATCAAGGCTGCATTTATTTGATAAATACAGTAAAAACAGTAATATCTGTGAAACATTATAACGGTTTTCTATGTGAATATCTGTTAAAATGTAATTTATTGCTGTGATCAAAGCTGAATTTTCAGAATCTCCAGCGTCACATGATCCTTCAGAAATCATTCTAATATGCTGATTATTATTCATGTTGAAAACAGTTGCGCTGCCTGTTTTTTAAAGTTTTTTTTCAGGATTCATTGATGAATAGAAACTTCAAAAGAACACAATTTATTTGGAGCAAAAATTACTTGTAACATCTCTGTACTGTCACTTTTGATCAATTTATTGCATTCTTGTAATAAAATAAAACTGACCCCAAACTATTGAATCGCACTGTATATATATAGTGAAAATCATATATTTATAAAATAAAGATTATATTCTATATTTAATGCATGTATACTCATACGCACTTCCTGTGATGTATTAATGCACACTTGTTCCCTGTGCCATTTGCAGTGCCTTGCAGACTGCGCATAAACACTTGCAATCTCATTTAAAACAGGTGTATATCCAGCTATCAGGGAATGCACTCATGAAGTAAGAGTGAGAAGCAGCAGTGAACACCACAGCTACCTTAGGTGATTTGAGGTCTCCTCTCCTCCAGTTGGTGTCTATTCTGTGTTGTCTAATATAGGCACTCTTCCAGGGGCTGTGTGTGAACCCTGGCTTGATAACCTTCCTTCTCTTTATGTGCAAGGGCTCGTCAATACCTGCAAAACAGACGTGACACTAATGATTCAATGCATGATTCTACTCTTGAGGCAACTATTCAATATACATGTGCATGAATTTCCAAAGCCACAGAGTTGATGGAAAAGCACCTTCTTCTTTGCATTTCTCCCTCCAGAGCAGGTTGTCCTCTGCTAGGATGCGCCAGTAACGACACGTCTGAGCTGCCTGAAGCAGATCCTTTGGCTCCAGAAATGACAACACGTGTAAGGCCAACTACAACACAAGACAGACAGAAAACCAATCAGACAGGAGAGCGTGAGGGAGGTTGGAAGTGTAGGCTACAACAGGATAAATATTTCTGCCAAAATGTTACATTTATTGTATTTATTTTTTTAACACCGTGTCAGCAGCAAGACGATGGCGAAAAACAGAATAAATAACAAAACTCACACAAGTAACAAGCTATATAAAGACATGTAAGATTAATACTAGACAAAAAAATCTGAAATGTATTCAAGGTGATACTTTTTAAAATCCCACAAAATGTTAAATAGCAAAACAAATAAATGTAAATAATGAAAAATCATACTAATATAATGATTATTATAAAGATAATTATAACACTGATAATAATAATTATTATTATATTTTTGATAGGATTTTAGGTAAAAATATATGCAATTATGAAAGCCTTATAGAAGTGGTTAAACAGAACATTGGGTAAATGAAACTAATTTTAATTAAGTATGTTCTTAAATTATATTTCAATTGACAGAAAATGTATACAATTTAAAATGTATATTTTTTTTAATAAAAAAAATAAAAAATCACATCAAATTGCTATATAAAAAGCACTTTCATACGGTGACAAACATTGTCATAATTACTGATAATCTAATTGATAATATAACAAAATATATTACAAACTAATACCTAAACCATCACCAGCCCCCATGTATTGAATAAAATATATATACGAAAATGTGGAATAAAGTCGTTATTTTTGTTTTCATTGCGCAAAAAAAGTATTCTCGTAGCTTCGTAACTTTACAGTTGAACAACTGATGCCACACAGACTACTTTGTCGATCATCTTGGTACTTTTCTGGACCTTGAACGTGGTAGTTACCTTGCCGTCTATGGGAGGGTCAGAGAGCCCTCAGATTTCATCAAAAATATCTTAAATTGTGTTCAGAAGATCTTTCGGGTTTCGAAAAACACGAAGGTGAGTAATTAATGACAGAATTAAAATTTTTGGGTGAACTAACCCAAAATAATAACAGCAATTTCCAGTAATGCAAACTACTCAAATCTTTTCTCAAATATGGCTGTTTGGAATTGAAAATTTGGTATCATTTACTTGATTCATGTAATATCTTACTGAATGTAACAATATAAGAAACGTTTTGGGTTTTTGAAATATTAGATATACAAATAAGACATGCATATTTAAAAAAATAATAATAATTGCTAATATTTAATCAATTTTAATCAGAATCATCTGCTGTAATTAATATACTTACAGCAGATATTCAACTGAATATTTTATATTCAGTTTCTTGAATTTGTGAAAATTCATATTTTAAATGTATAATTAATGTATTCAAACATTTATATATTTATCAGTGTTTGTTTTTACTTTATAAGGTCCTTAGAAAATTATTAAAATAAAGAAAATCTCACCTTCCCAGTAACAGCAGACCATACTTTGAGCGTGTTGTCGTCTGAGCCGCTCACAATGCAGTTTCCACAGAACTGGAGACAGGTGATGACATGATCGTCATGGCCTTTCAACACCTGAAAACAGAGAGAAAAAGAGGATTAATTACAAAATGAACAGAAATGCTAGTATTACAGTGATGCGCAAGAACAACGTGATGCTGCTGATGCTGGCAAATGACACAGCAGCTTTCAATTACAGGAACCAACAGGTTCATGGTCACCATGGTAACAACCGAGTATGAATAACCCAAAATCCCTATTTTCTGGCACCCACTGTGCCGTCGAGAGGACTTAAGTTGCTCTTTTCAGGGTCTTAAACATTTCAGTTCCCCAAGTGATGCACTGATGGGCGTCTCTCAGAAGGATTTCCAAATTAGATAAAGACTTCAAGCCATAAAAAGCAGTTTAAGGGTGATTAAAGAGATTTAATATTATGCCTTACAGTAACAAGGAACTAGAAAACTGAAATGTAGGCACACGTTGAAATGAAATGTCTTTCCGAAAGTGGGGTTGGTAAGACTTTTAAATGTAAGAGACCCTAAAATAAAGTGCTACCAAATTTTTTGTTTACATTATATATGTATGTGTATTGTGTATATTTATTATGCATATATAAATACACACACAAAGAATATATTTTGAAAATATTTACATGTTTATACATTTATATATTCATATTCTTATATTTGATATAAATATATTTAATATATAAATAAAGTTTTTCTGAAATATATACATGCATGTGTTTGTATTTATATATACACATAATAAATATGCACAGTGCACACATATATTATGTACTGATATAAATATATTTAATATATAAACAAAGTTTTTCTGAAATATATACATGCATGTGTTTGTATTTATATATACACATAATAAATATGCACAGTGCACACACATATATTATGTAAACAAAAACGTTTATTTTGGATGCGATTAATCGCGACTAATCGTTTGGCAGCACTAAAAACAACACATTTGAGATATATTGCCAAATATAAACTGAAGTGTTCTTGCATGATTTTCTTGTCGCAATTCTCATGCTTGTCATGAATTTGTTGCAGAATCATGGGTAATGCAGTTTTTCCATCAGGAGTTCGACTGTTAAGCTTGAGTATTTAAAAAATAAGTTGAAATAAGTGGGTTGATGGCTTCAACAAAAGCATTCATTAACAACCTCGTCACTTAAAGCAGGCACGAATTTAACGGTTAATAAGTTATTGTTTAAAATCAGTTCCCCTATGGAGAAAATTAATGTGAACCCGACTGCTGCATTCTATTAGACACAGATTTGTCTTAATCTAGCCATACACAACTTCTACACAAAGAGCACACTACTAGCTAGGAAACAAGTTCTGTTTACAAGGTTGATATAAGTGCCCAAGTTTGCTAAGTTAGTGGCATCAAAACGTGTATCAGTGATAATCAGTGTTTCTGCAAATTTCTCAACACAAAGATGAGTGTGTGAGTGCTTTACCTCTCTGGGCAGGAGCGAGATGAAGTCTCTCTGAAACTGTGGTTCGATCACCTGCATCATGTGCTTCACCTGCGTTGGCTCACAGCTGTCAATCAACTCATCCAGCGCGAGCAGCTTCTCTGGGCCACTCCAGCTCTGTAACACACACCAAAAACATAGAGCCATCCATTTACACTTAGCGCTTTAGATTTACATTTCAGTTTCAGGCGATGCTTTTTCACTGGCTCTACAGCAGCATACCGTCCCGTGAAACGGTAACTTCTGGCATGAACGTAACCGAGAAGGTTCTCGTAAGTCTTCATGTCTTGGGGCTGTTGGAAACTTCCCAGGGTTCGTTCTCCCCATATTACGTTGCGGTCAACTTCATCCAGTTGAATAAAATGTTTCGCTGATCTCACGGCGCTCGGAACGTAATAAAGCACCGTAATTTACTGCTCAAGTCCGGCGTTGTTGTCACAGGCTGGTTTATGTCTATAACTGACTGTTTTAACAGCTCAAAATAATGAGATTCCATTAAACAGTTGCGGAAAAATCAGATTAAAATGTTCAATTGTGTTGGTTCTTTAATCGAAGCAAACTAATTAAACTAAGCCTGAGATCAGCACAGGCTTCCCAAACCTTATCAAATTAATTTGCATTATTTTTCAAAGTCATAAGCATTTTCTAAAATCATTCTATAGATAATGCACTTACGAAGAGCAAGTTTAGAATATAGCGGCAATGACGGGCCCAAGCCATTATTAATCCTAGTTCATTTTAAATTCAAAACTTACTTGCATTATTTATTAATATAATATATTGTTCATGCAAGTTAATGATGTAACTGATGTTAACAAATGAGACATTGTAAAGTGTAACTGTACTGTATTACCAGTAAAGTACATATTAACTTAATTTATGTGTTTGTTTGTCATTCTAACTCATGGAAACTCTGTAGTACAGGATCAGGCTTAAACAATTTCTTATCCTATAATAAGAACCTTAGTGTTAGAGCCTTCATCTGTCAGCTGAAATTTCTGATAGTTTTTAATTTGCTGTTTGCCCCCAGAAAGGGTAACTCTAGAATCTCAAGAGTGTGAAACAGATACACACACAGAGAGGGTAGGATATAGAAAACTTTCAATGACCTATAATCATTTTAAAATTTATGAGCTTTTGCCAGTGTCTAATTATCACTAATACTGATGTGTGTGTCGAGTTTCATGAAATTCTAAGCATGTTAAGTGCCTTAAAAACACCTGAAAATAATACTTAAGTTTGACACGTTGCCACAGCAACATTATTTAAGATATCAAGAATCCCTTTACATCTGCCAAGTTTGGACATGATTCTGAAATCTGAAAAAATAAATAGTAGAATTAAATTAAATTAGAAGAACAATAGGGCAAGTTAAATAATAATAATAAGCATTTATTCAAAATATAAATATATTCTAACAATAAAAGTTTTTACTGGCACTTTATCAATTTAACACATCCTTGCTGAATAAAAGTATTTATTTATTTCAAAAAAATAAAGAAAAAAAATGTAGTGACCCCAAACGTTTGAATGAAAGTGTATATTGTAACAAAATAATTCTATTTTAAATAAATGCTGTTCTTTTTTTACCTTTATTCATCAAACAATGCTGAAAAAAGCAGAACATTTTCCAAATAAAACCGTAAGCAGTGCAACTGTTTCCAACATTGATAATAAATCAGCATATCAGAATGATTTCTGAAGATCATGTGACACTGAAGACTGGAGTAATGATGCTGAAAATACAGCTGCGCATCACAGAAATACATTACATTTTAAAATGTATTAAAATAGAAAACATTATTTTAAATTGTAATAATATTTCACAATATTACTGTTGATCAAATAAATGCAGCCTTGATGAGCAAAAGCACCTTCTTTAAAAACATTACAAATCCCTGAATGGCAGTATATCTTAAATTTTCTTTTTCTTTTAAATCACATATTTAACATTCACTGCCAGGACTCCCATGTATACAAAATATGACAAGGTTGCAATTCTAGCGGCTGAATTCAACCCTGAACACACAGAACTGCCACAAAGATATATCACCGCAGGCTTAGAATGCAGAAATTAGACATTTAATGTGAATCCCGTAAGCGATACTGAAGCATTGAAGCTGCTGACTCACAGGGATGCAGGGTGTCATTTGCACCTCCAGAAATAAGCCTTACAATAACTCAGGACACAAAGCAAGCAACTCATCAAGCACTGACTGAGCAAATAAACAAAACCCTTTCTGAACCCACAGACAGACCACAACTGAGAGGATGTTATACATGCTGCTTCTGTCCCGAGACGCCTTCGAACAAACTGGCCTTTGACGTCATGAAGGATTACGTGCACATTCTCACTGCAAGCTTATTAAAGGATATTTTGAGTGAACGGAAATCTAGCACGACTCTCTAAATTAGTTAGGAAGCAGCAAGAACACATCTTGGGCGAAACTTTACGCATTAGATGAAAGCTTCTTCAGCCTTTTAGTCAACACAGGTATCTGCTGTTTCATGCCAGAGCAGCTTCGTTAAGCCCGAGGACTGATCAAGCCTGTAATTACCTGCAAGGCACAGCAAACACTGACTGAGGTGGAGCCTCAGCTCTCTGTCGAGGCTTGAACTGTTGTTCTAGTAAGACGCATATGACAAGGATCTAGATCAGGGCTGTCCAAACTGGGTCCTGGAGGGCCGGTGTCCTGCAGAGTTTAGCTCCAACTTGCCTCAACACACCTGATTGGAAGTTTCTATGCCTATAAGAGCCTGATTAGCTGCTTCAGGTGTGTTTAATTAGGGTTGGAGCTAAACTCTGCAGGACACCGGCCCTCCAGGACCGAGTTTGGACACCCCTGATCTAGATACAGTAGTTGCAAACCTGTTGCATAATGGCCGCATGTGCTTAAATATCTAGCATCGATTTAGTCAGATTTTAGTACCAGAGATGTACAAAAATTCTGCGGTGGCTTTGCTTGGAGCTTTTTCACTGGCGAAACAGAAAAAACACTATTGTGTCTAAAGCGTAACTCACTCAATATTAACTTCTTGTTTGTTAAACTGTATAAAATCAATATCACATCTGTGATCGCGCTGATATTCAGGAAAACAGCACTGCTGCTAGTGTGTTATTACTCAACTATATTGTATTTTATGAATATAAAACCCATACAGGGATATTTTTTGCGTGCATATCTTGAATTACAGCTCATTCTGACTGCTTCATCACGCAGTTTGTTTGTTTTTTGAGGGACATACTCTATAATGTCAGCTCGCACATCATTAAAACAACAATTAATATATTATTGTAGAGGATGAATATCACACGCCCCTAGCTCCCACATCTTTATTAATTTCCTTGTTTTAGTAAAATCGTGGCCATGTTGTACTAATTGTTTAATTAAAATGAGGAAACAAATAAATAAGTCATGCAAAGTCATTTTTCTCTGCATGTGATGCGTAGGGCTCTGTAGCAATGTGAGGCTAAGGATTAATAATAATAATAAGTATAGTTAATATTATTATGTACATATCATTACAGTATTTCTTGAACTTACATATGCCTAGAGAAACTGTGTTAGTGATTTTACCATGATTATGGTTTTAGGCACCATGTACTAGCTGTGAGCATTCACCTGGTTAGTTTCATCTGTCCGGTCTGAACTCAGCTGTTTGGTTGAACTCACCTGAAAGGTGCGGAGCCACTCCTGCAGGCCTGTGGGGGGCTGGATGGACGTGATGCGCCGTCTCTGCTGACCCTGCCCATTGACCGCTCGAATGTCCCGAAACGTAGTGGGGGTGGCTGGGAACGGCAGTCCTGTGGGACTGGAGGATGAAAAAGACGAAAACTAATGAGCGGGGAAGAGACAAAATAACATCCTAAGGGCATTCTGGTGCAGAATTTATAACAAACGACTCTGACAGGAGACATCTGTGTTGGGGTAATTCAAGAAAATGAAAAGGCCAGTGCAAGCCTGCAGTTTATGGAAGATTTCAAAACAAAATGAGTTGAAAATAAAGATCTGAGGCTGTGTTTCAGAACAATAGTTTGAGAATTACAGCCAAAACCAAAGTGGTGAGTTGGACTGAATGGGTGCCAGATGAGCACCATTTACCTCAACCTCAGAACTCAATCAGTCAGTCAGCATGATTTTATTCAGCCACCTGCCCCCAAATCAATTCATTCAGATGTTTCACTCATGGAAACCCTTTTCTGTTGACCTTCTTCACTATTTGAGAGTCCATGTAAAACATGCTCAAAAGCATTTAATGCATGCAAACGATTAACAACTGAAGCACATTCCCTTTTCCACTTGAGGTGCCAGAGTTGTCCCATGTCAGCAGTCCTTACAGTCTCTGGGGCCCTACACTAACACCAAAAAGACGATTCAGCACTCCTTCCTTGTATTCTGCTTATCTACGGATACCTTCTCCGGTGCAAGAAACCAACGGATGCGGAGGAGAGAGGGAAGAGCGCAGGCGAGCACGCAGTGAGGTCCGTTTCATAATGGATTCATATTTAATGGGATCTGAGACCAAGATGCTTAAATTACCCAGCACGCAACTGCTGCCTGGTTGCTCGTGTACTGTTCTAATATAAACCACAAGAACACCTGCGCCTTGACAATAAGGCATGAACACTTGTCAGAGCTGACGGCTGAGCTTGGGTTTGCCGACTGAGGAACCTCTCGGGAGGCGATTGCATGTGGTTTCACACTGACGGTGTCATTTCTGAACCATTAGCGGCACCAAAATAAGCTAGATTTGCCCTTTTTTCGGTATATATTACATCTTGCAAGGCAAAAAAAAAAAGTGTTTAAGCTTCAGGTGAGATTTGGAGTGTAAAGGTGGCTAGATTTTTAGATGGATGCATGAAAGAAAAGACCAATCATAATTCTGTGTGCAAATAAATGTTAAAAATGTCATCAAATTTGTGATTTAGGTAAAGAAAAACAAAACACTCTAATGAACGTTGTGTTTGTTAGCAATCGAGGGCAGATTCCTCATGTCTGTGTGTCAGACCGCAAATTATTCAAATCACATGACATTTTTGATGCACATGAAGGAATTAATTCTGTATGTTTCTCTAATATTTTATGTGCATGTGTTACTTTCATCTTTTTCCCCACCTCACTTTTTATTAGCATCTTAGAGTCTCCATCCAGCACTTTTTATGTGACATACTAAAATTTGCATAAAAATACGTGGATGGAAACCAGGCTAATGGGGATTTAAAAAATTTAAAATATATATATATACACCATCATTCAAAAGTTTGGGATCGGTAAGATTTTTTAAATAACGTGAATAAAAAAAAAAAATCTCTCATGCTCAAAGTTTTTTTAATCAAAAACAGTTAAAACAGTAATATTCTGAAATATTACTACAACTCAGCATAACTATTTTAATATCCTACTTTAAAATATAATGTACACCATCATTCAAAAGTTTGGGATCGGTAAGATTTTTTAAATAACGTGAATAAAAAAAAAAATCTCTCATGCTCAAAGTTTTTTTAATCAAAAACAGTTAAAACAGTAATATTCTGAAATATTACTACAACTCAGCATAACTATTTTAATATCCTACTTTAAAATATAATGTATTTCTGTGATGCGCAGCTGTATTTTCAGCATCATTCCTCCAGTCTTCAGTGTCACCACACACACACACACACACACACACACCCATAGGAGTTGGAAAGGTGGGCACATACAAACAAACATGCATCTGTGTGGGCGTGACAGGCACTGTGCTTTCACAACAGCCTAAATTTATATGGGCATAAAGGAAATAAAAGCAACCCTATATGCTTCACTGTCTCTGTCACCCACGCCCCGCACAGGCTGAAACCGCTCTGGTTTTGCTGCATAGTTGGTGCCTGGCTACGGAGCATCTACTCTGGAAAAACAAGGGTTCAGTGTCCTCAACACAATGAGCTCCTAGAGCACATTTGAATTAAACTATTTTAGGAGAGTACAGGGCTGCCAGTGAATCTGTGCAGTTCACTTTCAGGAGGAGCTCAGCGATAGACTCCAAGTTATGAATCATTGTGCTGTGCCAAGGGTTTGTGAGTCATTAACGATGCGAGCAGAAATGAAGAGTTTCACTACTGAAACACACACTTGCCGTTTACCGTGCAGTTACGTATCATGTCACTGGTAAATAACAGGTCTGAAATGCTATCCAAATCACAATGACATTGTGCCTGTAAGCAACATTCAGTGGTTATAGTTAATACTATATACTACTAACTATTAAAAAAAAGTATCTAAATCATATGCAAGATTTATTAAAAAAAAACAAAAGTGTACACTGAATAAGCCACCAGAACACTGGCAAGCATTTTGGCAGCAATTAATAGTTTTTATACATATAAATATTTAGATATTTAATACATATATTCAGCGCGGATGCATTGCATTGCTCAAAGGTGACGTTAAAGACTTCTACACTATTACAAAAAAATTATATTTAAAATAAATGTCTTTCTGTTGAACTTTATAATCTTTGAAAAAAAAAATGTATCAGGTTTCCCTGAAAAACATTAAGCTGGAAACTGGAATAATGACCTAAAAAAAAAATTCAGCTTTGCTATCACAAGAACGCATCACATTTCAAATTAAAAATAATAAAAATACATTAAAAAGATACTTTAAATTGTAATAATATTTTACAATATTAATGTTTTGCAGTATTTTGATCACATAAATACAGCCTTTTTGAGCATTAGAGACTTACTGCTAATTACTGTTTTTACTGATGCTCTAAATGTAATCTTCAGCAAATCTCAAAATGAATATTAATTTTTCATACTGCATTACATGTGATCACTACATTCACCTGTAGCATGTTAAAACTGATTCTATAGTGCTTTATTTTTAATTTATACAAACAAAATAGTAAAGACTTCTAATTTCTGCCTTTTATCAATTATTGGCCATAACAGGAAAATAATTACTGATGTTCGCTATCAGTGTCAATCTTAATATTAATGCATTCCTAATTTTGCTTAAAACATTCATGACATTTCATGGAGATAAGATGACCATACAGATTATGCATGTTCACCTTTTCATGGCTAATTTAGAGTTATATTATATACATTTACTGGTCTTTATATTCAAATGAAACTAATAAAACACTGGCATGATCACATTTGCTGCAACTGATCTAGAGTCAGATGTGCCAGGTGTTTGATACGCTTGAGAGAGGTCGAGCTGAAAGGTGTGTCTGATAATGAAGCTCTGTCTGGATTTCTGAAGGCACCACACGCGGCGAGATTCACCGTAAATGAGGACCGGAGAGAAAAAACTAAACAAAAACACAGATGAAGCCCTGCAGAAACGTCCATAAGAGACTAAATCAATTTTTTTAAACCACAAAAATCATTTGAAAATTTATATTAAATGTTCTGATTATGTATTAACCCCTTCCATGCCAGCTATATGTTTATTTTACAGGACAGCTTGGCAAGGATCAGTTGAGCCAGTGATCTCACTGCACAGGTAGTCAAACAGATAGGACAGGCAGGGAGTGTGAATATGCATGAATGAAGAGAAGATAGTAAAAAGATGGCATGACACTGAAGACGTAGGAAAGTGAGCCTGTGTGTGTTCGAGAGTGTTAAGACTCTCTCAGGTTACTCCACACGAAACACATAGGGAACGCCACACTTGCTAATCACTACTAATAGCTAAACCTGTCTAGACAGACTACTTGGTACACAAAACTGCGTGAATGAAGTAAAAGCATTCATTTCCTTAGTTATACATTTATTTGAGTGAGTGGATTAGACTGTCGCTTCTCTCTGGGGTTTACAGCGAGAGCCATCTGATTTTAGATGAGTCACTGTGTAATCATTCTCCATGTCTGACACCACCGAGCGAAAACGGCTCGGTCTGTGGTTAACAGGAATGCTTGTGTTCATGGAAACCGGTGCAGTCTTGGCAAATAACATGTATTAGTCAATAAATCCTGTGATTTATGAATGAAGAACCTTGCTATTCGTTTCAGAAAATTCTTAGATTGGTCACAGCTGCGCATTTAGCTAAACATTTTAGACTATTTAAGTGTGCTGTACTTCATAAATAAAATCTGAAAAGTCATGGAAGTTAAACTGCAAGAAATCAAAGACTGAGTACAGTGAAGCTTAGGGATAAAATCTCATGATCTAGTGTCAAATATCCTTAATGAGCTTTGTTTTTGTAACCAAACAATTAAGGAGATTGCCTGGAGCATCCGTCAACGTCACTGTACTTCAGTCGATGCTGTTCTGATCAGAGGACACCCTGAAAACTGCAGTGACTGAGCGCGTCTGAAAAGCTCTTAACACTCGTTTCACTCAAATATAAAGTTTCGGGACAGACGTGGCTTCAAAAGCAATGACACAGTGACCCAATCAGTGCAGGGTGGCCTGATGCCGCCAGCCAGTGGAGGAAACACACCCTTCACCCTTCACCCGGCAGCGCCGAAACTGATGCTTTACCACTCTGACACAAAATCATTCACATATCACAACACTGAAGCTCTAGGATAGTCGTGACTGCATGGACGTTCCACGTTAACATGACTACAGTGAGGGAGCCCAGATATTGTTTCTGCTGCATATCAGCTGCAAAGCACAAATTAATATCACCAACAGGTTTGCTCTGGAAGATGAGTATCAAATACCACAGCATCAAACTATCAAATCAGAGTCGATTGCACATCAAAAACATGCGATCAAATAAATCCGCTATACAAGTAAAGAAGGATGCAGTGCTGCTGAGATGTACAGGGGACGGATAGATATGTATGATGTAGGGAGCGCAGGTGCAGTGTGTGTGTGTGTGTTAGGATGGGCAGATGGTGGAGAAATAGTGATGGAGCCTATGTTCTCCAAACACCCCATAATAAGTGCATCGCATCCTTTTCAACATCTGAGCTTCTTGTCAAGGAGACTCAAAGTAGGTGAATGAATATCGCGGAAGGTGATTCTCTCAGTCAGCTGGAGATTTTTCCGCAGTGGCCGTAAGAACAGTCGCGTATTCCACCGACGCACCCTTCAGAACGCGACGCGACAAACCCCAACGCCGACGTTATAATCAACCAAGATGTGTACATTACACGGGCGCGCATTGCATTTGATGTATTACACATCGCGCTGTGCAGCGCACCGCTTCTTTGATTTATAATGGACGCGTTCCTGTCGCGTCGCGTCCGCGCTGATGGGGTTTTGACGCGAGGCGCACGGCCGTATCGATATAAAAGACGCAGTGCATCAGACACGAAGAACGGCGTTTACTCACTTTATAGAAGATCATCTTTAAAGTGCCGTAGAAACCCATGGTGATGGTGATGACGATAATCCGGGTGCGATTCACTGAGAGGCGATGAAGAATTTATGGAAATATATCTGCGTGAAAAGGGCTCTATTAATCCCGGATAGATCCGACAGGGACATACTCATCCACGGACGGATGCATGTGAAGCCGAACAGAAGAACCCAGCGACTCGCCCGTCTGTCTCATTGACTGTCCTCTGAGCGGACTGACTGAGAGAACAGAAGGAGAAGGAGAGAGAGAGAGAGAGACCCTGCCCTCTTCAGAGCCTCCCCTCTTCCTGGGGGAAAAAAACCCTGGACTTTCTATGACTTAATTACGTGTTTGTTTGTTTATTTATTTCCATTTTTTAATATCATATTGTTTCTATTTTTAATAAAAGCTGTTTTTTTTTTTTTACTTTATTCAACAAATAATCCTGAAAAAAGTACCACAGGTTCAAAAAATAATAATAAAAATTCAGCAGCAAAACTATTTCCAACATTGATAATAAATCAGCATATTAGAATGATTTCTGAAGATCGTGTGACACTGAAGACTGGAGTAATGATGCTGAAAATACAGCTTTGATCACAGCAATAAATTATATTTTAAAGTATATTAAAATAGAAAACCATTATTTTAAATTGCAATAATATTTCACAATATTACTGTATTTCTGATCAAATAAATGCAGCCTTGATGAGCAGAAGAGAATTCTTTATAAAAACATAACAAATCTGACTGATCCCAAACTTTTGAACGGCAGTGTGTGTGTGTGAGTGTGTGTGTGTGGGTTAGGGTTAGACACACACACTGCCGTTCAAAAGTTTGGGATCAGTAAGATTTGTTATGTTTTTATAAAGAATTCTTTTAAAACACACTCACAAACAAACACTCTCTCACTCACACACTCTCTCACTCTCTCACTCACACAAACACACACTCACACACACTCTCTCTCTCTCACACACTCACACACACTCTCTCTCTCTCACACACTCACACACACTCTCTCTCTCTCACACACAC